CCAAAGGGAAAAGAAACGTCGGGTCTGTCACATCTGCTGAAAGAGGAACTAATGTAACATTGTTGGTAGCTGTTTCGGCAACTGGATCTTCGATACCTCCAATGTTCGTATTTCCAAGAAAGAAATACCAAGATCATTTCGTGCGAGATGGGCCAGCAGAATGTATTGGTGCAGGAAATGCAAGCGGCTGGATGACTGATACGGAATTCTTGCTTTTTATGAAACATTTCATCACTTATGTGAAGCCAACTAAAGAGTCGCCAGTTTTGCTTTTACTAGACAATCACAGTTCGCACTTGTCAGTGGAAGTGTTGGATCTAGCGAAAAATAATGGAGTAGTGATGCTGTCGTATCCTCCTCATTGTTCCCATAAGCTGCAGCCCTTAGACGTGTCTGTTTTCGGGCCGTTTAAAAGGTATTTATCGTCAGCACAAGATTCATGGATGCGTGGCCACCCAGGAAAAACAATGAGCATTTACGATATCCCAGGCATCGTCCGAACAGCTTTACCTTTGGCACTGACTCCCAACAACATCTCGAAAGGGTTTCAAAAAGCTGGGGTTTACCCGTTCAACCGGGAAGTGTTTGATGAGTCGGACTTCGCTCCAAGTTTTGTGACAGACCGACCAAATCCGAACAATCCAACAACGTCTTCTGTACCTAATGAGTCACAGCCGCCTATGTCTACAGAGCCCCAGTTGCCTATTTCTCCAGGTTCACCAAGTTTGTTAATTTCTTCGCAGCCCGAAGTTGTAGCAGTTGTTTCAGCAAGTATATCTCCTGTATCTCCTTCTCAGTTGTCTACAGTAGGGCCTCAGTTGCCTACCGTCTCAGTTTTGCTGTCCTCAAGTGACCTAATGTTGTCTTCTACAGCTGCTGTTGAAAAAGATTGTCTGCCATTAAGGTCCTGTACAGTTCCATCTTCAAACATTGAGCCTCAACCATCTACGTCAGCTTCATCCTTGTTTGCTCAGCCATCAATATTTTCTCCGGAATCCATCAGGCCTTTCCCTCAGGCAGGACCGCGTAATGTTACCAGCAGGAAACGACGAAAGGCAGCTATATTAACAGACACACCTGAAAAGGAAGCGTTGTCTTTGGAACAAGAAAATAAAAAGAAGAAGAAAATGGTCTCTCGTAAAAAAGCTGTCTCGAAGAAAAATAAACAAGTGAAAAAAAGATTTTACAAGAAAAAGATACAAATAAAAATAAACAAGTGAAAAGAAAGATTATACAAGAAAAAGATACGAGTTCGAGTTCTGAAGAAGAAGAATGTCTTTGTCTGGAATGCTGCGAGTCATTTGCTGACAGTGTTGCAGGAGAAGGCTGGATTCAATGTAATACCTGTAAAGGTTGGGCCCACGATAAGTGTGCCAAACATCACTCATCATCTCTTGCATACGAATGTAAGAATTGTCAGTCTGATGAAGATTAGTTATTAGTTTTTTGTTGAAAATACTTATTTTTTTAAATTGTTTAAGTTGCTAAAGATGTTACCGATTTCTTTTATGAATATGTACGATTTTGAGATACTACAATTGTTTTAAGATGTTACCTTTATCAAGATCAAAAAGACCAAAGACCTAAAGATTTGTTATTAAGACTGATTATAACTGTGCCTTATAATTATATAACTTAGTTACCAGTGCAAAATAGGTCGCAACATATCTGTCGATTAAAATATAATAAATATAAAGATTATTTATTTTTATTTATTTCCTACATTTGACCACAAAATATGATTTAGTTGTCGTGGTTCTTTTTACCCCAAGACTGGTCCTTTTTACCCCACCTGCGGGGTAAAAAGGACCATTTGACATTACATTTTGTATCGCCCATATTGGGCGCATTGGTAAATTCTGGCCGTATTCACCTATGGCAACTTATAGATGAAGGATTAAACTTTCTATTATTATTAAAGTCTTTCCCAGGAACCTTAAACGTACGTAGTTATGACACAATATACGCAAAATGGACCTTTTAGCCCCGCCCTACCCTACTATATTAAAGTAAATAGAATATAATACTTCGAGAGTCTAATCGATGCTATATAAATACTTAAAATAAGAAAGTTCGGTCGTTTATAATCAATCCACAACGATAGGATTTGAGAAATCCAATTTCCCATTAACAATGAGTGATAACCCGAAACTACCAAGGAGGTTGATGAAAATGTGATTGTTAATTAACGTTGACACAGAAATGCGAATAGTGAATTCGAAATCTTCATTTAACTCGTCACGGTGTGCCTCTCGCGTTTAGCATTAAATGATTGACTCTGTTTCAATTTCGTCTAACACGAATGCGGCGGTTGAACGAATCGATACACGATTATGTGATTGTGAGAAAAATTTATACCTTAGGTACTGTATCTATGTTTACTGCTTAGTGTGTGATTATATCCCAAAGAAGCGAGTCCTGTTATATTATGCATAAAGCACGTGAGTAAAAGTTCAATACATGAATTTGAGTTCTGAAATATTGTATTTTTTGTTTGTTGGTGTTATTTATTATCAATGCTCCATATATCTATACCACCCTGGTAGTTACTTTTGTTAAAATTCATTCGTGCATGATCAAAAAGCGCTTCCGGACGATTAGTTGCCAACGAATATTTGAATTTGTTGTTAACTTTGCCTCCTTTTGCGTTAATAGCGTTACAATGTTTGTGAATTCTATTACGCATTGTGCACTAGACGTCTGCATTGTGTATTTGTAGTCGGCCTTTTATCAATTGTGCATTGGACTGATCCTGTTTCGCCATGAATGTGTATTTCTTCTCAGTCTATTAAGTACTAAAAACTGTTGTGTCTAATATTTTCATTCGATAATGATTATAAATAACTTTTTTAATTGATAATACACACCTACTTGCCAATAATGCAACAGATATTATAATGAAGTGATACATTATTATAAAGCCACCCACATTTGTGTAGCGGGGTTATTATGGACACGTTATGCGTCATAAATATTTCGGGAACATAAAATTAACACTCAGAAACATGGGCTTTCGAGGCACCGCAGCGTCTACCGACGCCAAAAAAACAGGGATCGCTTGCAGAACCACAACGAAGGTCCGGCATCACCTCAAAAGATGGTATTATACTTCAAAATGAAGTCAATCCTTATTTTTATGGAGAGAAGGTCTAAATCTTAATGGTGCGATGAAAGCGTCACAGGCAACAAATCTTTGTTTTCGTTTGTTGTAATTTGTTATCGTATTCTGTTTGCGTTACGGTTTAAATTAGATTGTTTTATCGTGCACATTCGGTATCTGTTCTTATCTAGGGGCATACTTGTTGACATGTTGTCTAATTGATTGGTGTTTCTCAGTAGGGGTCTAGGGTCTTATATGTGGCGGTTCCTTTGAGGAATTATTTGAAATTGATAAACTATAAATGCCTTCACAAGTGGGAGATGCCACTGTTATTTTTTTTGTTCAGAAAGTATAGCTAACTAAATGCAGATGAGTTCTTAAAATGAATTGAGTTGATTAATTTGTAAGGATTTAATCATAATCAATAAATTACATAATTATTACATTTTTGCAAATGGAATTTATATATGTATTTTTTATTATAATTTTTAGTTTAATTTAATTATGAATTTTTGTGTAACATAATAAAAGGGAAGGACGTTTTTAATTCAACATGAACAACTAAACTTTTTAATTATAATATTTATATAGTTAATTATTTGTAATGATATTTTCTAACAATAAATAAATATAGTTAAAATTTATATTATCATAACAATATTTTTATGTTAACAATAATAAGGATCATGTACTTATAGTAAAATTAACCCTATATAATATAATAAGTTATTTACGTAAAATAATATTTATATAAAACTAAACTATGCCTATATGTAATAATATAATATATCTAATAGTTCCATTCAGAGTGAAGCGCGCCCAACTGAACACTTAATATAATAATAAAAGTTGCGTTTTTATTTCTATAAAACGTCATCTCATCTCTATAGAAACTAAGATGCATGCACAAAAGCGCTGCAAAAATTCAAGGATCGGCGGTCTCCTTTGACGATAGGTGGTCCACAATTCCACCAGCCACTGCTCCGTACGAATGATGTGATTATAATAGCGACACCTCTCTCACATAAATACATCAATAAGTCAAGATATTTTATCTCCCATAGAATTTTATTAGCAAACATTATCGAATAAACTTAATTACTTTTCGATACCCATCATTGCAAAACACTAATTAAAATCTTGATGACTTTCTTTTACGCTTTGGAAAATCGAGAATGATTCATCAAATTGGATGCACAGATTATGAACTGGATCGCTTTTAATCTAGAAGTTACATCACCTATTTAGTTTTTTTGGTCAACAAAATTGTTGTCGATACACAACTCATAAAACATAAGGCGAAATGAACTGAAACCGAAAATAGTTTAAGTGTTATCGTTTTTGCTTGACCGCATTCATGTTAAAAGAAATTGGATACTCTTGCTTGAGGAGACTGGCAATGGAACGTAAAATTACGAGGTGATCGAGGACTACCATACAAGCGCGGATAGCAAATCCGACAAGAACCGATGTGCGCCCGTTTTGTGTTATTAATGTATTGTTGCCATTGATGCTTCACGCGTTATTTGATTTCAATAGAGCTACTGGTTTTTAGATTTGTAGGTATATTATAAACTCATTCGCTTTTTGTCATAATTCAGTTTCTTTCGTTACAAAAATGACCATTCATGAAATGACCGTAGTTGCTCTGTTGTGCTCTATAATTCAACAAGAAATAATCATTGTAATATATTTTAATCTGCTTTTTCTGTGCTACTACCAAACTCAATAAATATATTGTATATTAAGCCTAATGACAAGCAAAATTCAACCAGTCACAATGAACAGTTATGACTATAGTAATTACACATAACATTGAAAATTGAATGGTCTATATAACATTAGTATTATTGTTAGTAGTGTTAGAATGTCCGTGGTACAAAGAACTCAATTTTTACAGGTCAGGGTCGTATGAATCAGTTGGGTGGAGTGTTTATTAATGGACGTCCATTGCCGAACCACATCAGGCTGAAGATTGTGGAGATGGCAGCAGCAGGAGTGCGTCCTTGTGTCATCTCGCGGCAACTACGCGTCTCGCATGGCTGCGTTTCTAAGATTCTCAATAGATATCAGGTAAAAATATTTAGAACATCTCTAGAAAAATGTTATAATATAAGAATTAAGATATATTAATGAAGCGTTTAGCCCCGTAGGTCACTGCGTAGAATGGGCCATTCCTTCCTTTCCCGTGGGTGTCGTAAGAGGAGACTAAGGAAGCTTATGATGGAGCGATGAGCAGCAACGTCCCTATTAAAACGTTACCAAAAGCCAAACTGCGGTTGCCAACCCGCCTGCTAAGCATGGCAACTACTAGCAAAACTCCCCGTGTTTGTTTTGCTATTAGTTGCCACGCTTACGTTCAGCAGTGGATAATTAACGGCTGATGGCGACAATGAAGCGTCTAAAATATTTTTTTTTTTATTGTTTGTAAATGTATTTTTAATTAGTTTTTTATTAATCAGGAAACTGGTTCCATCCGGCCTGGTGTTATCGGAGGATCGAAACCAAGAGTGGCAACGCCTGAAGTAGAAAATAGGATAGAAGAACTGAAGAGACAAAACCCAGGTATATTCTCCTGGGAAATTAGAGATAAACTAATAAAAGAAGGCATCTGTGATAAAAACACAGCTCCGTCAGTCAGTTCAATTTCGAGACTAATAAGAGGAGGCAAAAGGGACGAATCAGATCCTAGAAGAAATCACAGCATTGATGGTATTCTAGGTAAGTCATACTTACCTTGACTTTAATTGATTGATGGAATACAATAATTTTCATCGAGTGATTTATCTACGATTTGACTTCCCAAGTTTCAATGTTAATTAGTTAAATATAATTATAGTTATAGCCTCATATATTTTTTTATCTCAGATGCATGGGTAATATTTGAGTTCAACCACATCAAGTAGCTTTTCACGTAGTTTGCATAAAACTTTATATTGCTTTAGTTCGCGCAGTGTTTCATGGTAAAGAATTACCTACTACTACATTTGCATTATTAAATTCCAGACGTAAATATTAACTATACATTAACATCACCTCACAAGAAGACTACGAATATAATTAACAATAGTTAGATCAAACCTTGACGAAAATATTCAATTATTGCATATTTAAAAAGGTGAGAAAACCTTCAAGATAATGATGCGTAAATAACTTGCCGTGTCATCGTAGTCCTTAACGCCAATCCGAGACCATAATCACTTAATTTAGTTCAAAGCACACTATTATTATAAATTTATTCTTATAATGAGACTGTCGGAACGTTTGCAAACTTCAGAAAATAGCGTATAAAGTTAATAATCCACGTAAAAGTGAAGCGGACGCGCGAGCGCACGCCACGGCAGCGCCCCTTGTGTCGGCTTCGAAATTGTAGGTTATAAAAATGAAATTAGTATCCAAAGGTGTTATTATCCCATCGCGTTTGGCCGCAGGGCTTGCATTACGACAATCTGTCCGTACTGCACGTCTTGTGCCGTATAGCTATCCAATATAAAATGGCGCTCCTAATATCCCGGTTCAACGATGGAGTGCGCTTTTGCTTGCAAGATTCTGCACCGCGATAAGATTATGCATATTAAGTTGTGCGCGGCTAAAGTAATATCTACACTGGAAAAGCGGCCTCTATATAACTCAGTCTCGAGTATTGAAAATGTGCGGTTCGTGCTTGGCCTGTGACGATGGTTAACGGTGCGTTTCGGTCTCAGCTTTTCGTGGAAATATTTGCATATGCGCTTTCATAAATGCATTGGTAATTATACATAATTGTCATCGATGAAAAGTGAGTTTTTGTTTCGTAAGATCTACATTTTTCTACCACTGTCTACTAACCTACTACATACGCAATAGTTACATATTGTGGTTACAGTGAATAAAATTAAATGGCAATAGCCACATCAACCTCATAGTAATTTAAATCTGTTTTATCATTAACTACCTTGAAGTAATATTTGTTGACGCTCCAAAGGAACTAATTCGATGATTCTACAAACGTAATATAATGTGGTTACGTTTAATGTAATCGGACCGCGTGTGGTCTGCCCGGTAGTAAGAAGGTAATCAACACGAAACAAAACAAAATAACAAAAGCTTTAGATAGAAAGTCACCATTTACTATAACAAAATTTTATGTAATAAAATTCCAGTAGGTATGTAGCTTCATGTTTATGTGGCAATTTATAATGTCAGACACGCAGTTATCTGAGATTCCATTATTAGTGCCAAGAAAATGCTAATGACATACAGAAATTTTCAGTTTAATTTAAAAATATCATCATTTACCATAATGCGCCTAAGGTTTTTGTGCTAAATAATTGTTTTTTTATTTTAAAAGGGCCGTCGTCTTGTGAAGATTCAGATACTGAATCAGAACCTGGTATTACGTTAAAAAGGAAGCAACGGAGATCTAGAACAACATTCTCTGGAGATCAGCTCGAGGCTTTGGAGCGAGCATTCACTAGAACTCAGTATCCAGATGTTTACACAAGAGAAGAACTGGCACAGAAAACTAAACTCACTGAAGCAAGGGTTCAGGTACGTTATAAAATTTGACATTTATAATATGTCTACAATATCAATGACAGATGAGTGCATTAAACAAATTCATTGTTATATTCCATTCAATTCCCGCCCCTCGAGGGCGTGATATAAAAAAATAAGTAATTACTTTTATTATTAATTATGGATAACATTTGTAATCGAGCTACCATATGTTGTTCACCGCTACCGTTTCATTCTTAGTTTTTGTGGGATTAATAACATTCGGTTATCATTGATCTTATATAAAATATCATTATACTTTATCTTACAGTGTTATTACATCCAATATTCTCAATAAGAAATTAAATAAGGGTTTTTAGTGTATGTATTGAACTCAACGTCGAAGCAAATTAATTATTTTGATTTCTCTTGAGTGACGGCTATTCCTAGGATTACGTTGCGAGATCTCACCAACACAATTAGTCGAGTGGATTTATTTCAAGATACAAGTACACTTTAGCTTCGATTCTCTGGTACTTGGAATTGTAATTGTTCGGTTGTTATTTATATTATATGATGATGATGTTTACAGAAATAAGTTGCATTTACATTAATATTATAATAAAATACTATTTTATTTTTATACTTGCCTATCAAAGAAGCCCTTTCGAATTCAGTATTATACTAGAAGAAAACACGATTAATTCCATTTTTAACATACATAATACGTTCAAATTTAATTTCTTATAAAATAAAACAATTTATTTTGTTTAGGTATGGTTTTCTAACCGAAGAGCACGACTGCGGAAACAACTCAATTCACAACAACTTAGTGCTTTTAATACCATGTCATTGCAATCAGCGTTTCCTTCCGTCCATCAACAGTATGAGCCCCCTTCGACCTTCAATACCCAATGTGCAACATGGCAGCAGTCATATTCATCAGCTCTGGGGTCAAGTTCAGTTCTGAATTCAGCGCTTGCGCCCTCTCTCCACCAATCTCCTTTAACGGCCCCATCTGTTTGCCAGTCAGCGCTAGCAGCATCGTCATTGCATCCACCTACATCTAGTTCCTTCTCTACCGGAAATCTAACTCCTTTATCGCATTCTTCTGAACTTGCAACACCGTTGCAACCACCAGCAGAAGCCACACCGCCCAGTTCGAGTCCAGCAACAACAACTCCATCTGCAAACCAAAGTAGTGGAATTACATACCCACACTCGAGCTATTCAAATCCGAGCGACGCAGTTACACACTCTTATGGTTATGGGGATTATTCAAAACAAGAACATGCGATGTCAGCTCACAATCATTGGGCTTCAAGACAACTCAGTGCTCATCCGCAGAACAAGTTAGCAGAAGTTGGTGCTTGGCCAGAAAACTATAGGTAAGACATGTAATGTAAGTTATTATTGAAACTAAGAATTAGTATTAGTACCCTGATACAAATTATACATCTCAATAATCCCTGGCGGCGATCAAGTAGCTTTATGAATTATTGATGTTCGGCTACTCATGTTCCGTCTTGAATTGTTCGGATGAATATGCAATTATAATGAACTGACCTTTGTTGCTGACGATTTAAATAACAATTTATTAAGACCGATATAACTATAATAATAATAGGTTAGAGGCGACGCTTTAAAATGACATCATTTTAGATGGTTTGTTGTTATAGTATAATTTAGTTTGATGATTTAGACTGAATAATTCTAATCCCATAGTAAGCGGCGTCCGGTGGCTATCAGCAGGCGTGAGGCTCGATCGCAAATCGGGGTGCATTCGTTTTATTACTTTTCACCTTCCTTTATCATTAGCCGAAGCAGCCGCTAATCAATTAAGAGTGTAAGAAGTCGGCCATTATACGCCGCGCGGGTGGTTATTACAGAGCCAGCTTCGTAATACGCCGATTCGATCGTGAGCGCAATAGGGTTGCGAATTTTATAGTGATTTTCAATCAATTTTTAATTATTTTTTGTTTGTGTGAGTGTTTTTTAAATATATATATAGTATTGAGTAGTCAATGATAAAGTATAATAAGAGTCTCGTGATTTCTTAGTTGGTAGATATTTGTAATTCCCAAAGTGAATTTGTCGAAAGAGAATGTGACAAACATTGTCGTATTGTACTCTATACGGCAACGACATTTATCTGTGTTATCTAGACAAAGCATGTCTATAAACCTCACATTGGACCACACACAATATCTCGTCTTGCACAATGATGAACAAACTAATAATATATGGGTTAGCCGCGTTTATATGGTGAACTGTTTTATCTAGTCCTTTGATTGACGTAACATATGTAACTGACTGAACCTCATTTATTTTTCGTCTGCCAAAAATGTACTGTACATTTGCGAAATATGGACGACTTTAATATTCCATATCCATGTATTGTGACGGCTATGCTACACGTGTAATATTTAAATCTCAAATAGTACTCAAAAAAAAAAAATAGTACTCAATACACATTTGTGTTTAGAAATATATAGTATATTATACTGTCTCGTTATTAGTATCCTATCACTTTCCCTTTATTCATGTTCTGTTATAGATCATTCTTAAGCGCGTTTAAATTACTTGTTTTATCATCACAGACGTTACCTCAACGTCACTTTTTAGAGCTTGGTCTCCATGACGTTAAAATCTTGTTCTACATTTTATCCGAAATTCGGCCAATATAATCAGCGCGTAGTATGGAACGAAGATAGAGTAAATAGTTATGCATAATAATAAGTGTGCTGAAAACTAAAAACAGAATTCGAATAGACTAGCTTATCCAAGAAGTGGTTATTAAAATCGCTACCTCTTAACTCAAATGTTTGAAACTATTGTAGTGTAATAAAAATAGACTTATGATAAAATATTACAACTTACTATGCTTATGGTGAACAATGACAGGATATTAGTGGAGGATGTAACGATGAGGATAATGTCAGATCAAGAGAATTCATTTTGAATTAATCATATTGGACCAGACGATTTCCAGAGGTAGGTCGCGTAGAGATCGACTTGTTGATATGGTATATTGATAGCATCCCGCTTTCCTATTATTAACAATATCTTTCTCCCTCATCGCCCTGTTAGGGTCAACATGAACAGTTAAGGAAACAAAGGATACTGAAGATTAACTGGATATGAGAGTAATATGAGTACAATACATTACGGGAAGAGATAAAGACACGTTGCTTTGTAGCAAACAGCAATTAATGAGAGGCGAACGTGACATTAGAACAGTGAACCCGAGCATTAAAGTAAGGTAACCCAGTATTAAAACTTATCTGCAGCTATTTGCATTCGACTTCCTAAACAGCGTGGTTTGCGTGCGCGCAACACTCGCGCGCCAGTTTAACGAAACCGTTCGACCTGCGTTTTCACTTGCAATTCGAAATTCAAAACAGCTGTTTCCTTTAGAAATTTCGGGTCACATGCATTTTAATTATTTCAAGTCTTATTTTAAAATTTCCGTTCAGACTCAAAATGTGTCAATGTAATTCTTTGCATAATTTTCTTAATATTAAAGTATTTCGCTCGGACTAAATATCGTGTATGTAATGAAGAAAATATTGTTACAATAATTGTATCTATTATAAAATTATAGTACAGGAGTAGATTTGCATTCTGTTTGACGTCTTTATATATACGTATATAGAGTACATGTAATACTGAATAAAATAAAACGTAACATACTTAGATGGAATATAAGTTTTTCCAGGTCGCATTATTAAATTAATTTTAATGCTTAACTTCTATTTGTAAACGAGTATGTTGATAATTAATCTAAAAACAAATCTTCCTTAACATAATATACGTACATGTTTATATAGTGAAAGTTACAATATTAATAAATAATATTTAGATCAAGTTGTTATGTAATCACAGTGCATATTTGGTATCCATAAATTTTACTTTAAAATACAATAGAATAAACAGGAAAAAAGAATTAAGAAAAAAAAACGTTTGAAATAAGACATTCCTCGGTTAGCTTTTTTATTTATACTGTTTTGTATGCGAGTATAATTAAAGTACGGTGTAAAAGGTTTCATAGCGTCAGCACAATAATAACTACTTAAACAAAATAAGTAATTTGTAAATACGTTTCTATTTATTACTTGACCTTGTTCTAACCAATAATACTAGTACGGCAGTGAACTTTAATCGTACGAGCCACTGAATTAAACCGAAATTAAATTTTATTGCTCGTTCTAGTCACGATTTGTACGAAAAATAAGGTTTACGGACAAGAGGAGTACATTTGTTGTACAGCTATGTGTGCAGCCAAAAATATTGTCGAAACATTACATTAAATTTAAATCTATTTGGTACAAAGTAAAAATTAAGCTAAGTAATATTAAATATAGTTATTATATTTTATTATAGTTTGTTTCAACAGAACTTAATAAAAATGTTAACAAATGAATAAACCGTAAGACTGTTTGTTGATGTTCAACAGAAGTAAAAATAAAGAAAATCGATTATTTTGCTAAATGTTAATAACTCGTTAATAATTTCATTAAGAGACTATTTCTGTGATAGTTTCAGCAAAATTTAGTTATGGTTATATTGATTCATGAAAAAGGGATAAACAGTTTTCTTCGGAGTTGGCTAAGGTTACCATCTGGTAGGCTTTATGCTTGTTTGCTATCTCAGCGGTATAAAAAAAAATTAAAAGAGATTATAGTAGATATATTTCGTTGTTGGGAAAGTCGTTATTAATATTTATAATGGAGTTCTCGTTTTTTCTGCTGACATTACTCAAATTACGTACACGGTAGGCCAAAAATAAGTAACAATTACAAAGGCGCATTAGAGCGGCTACTCTGTGATTACAATTATTACCGCCTATAGGTTCTCAACATCTATGTATCGGTAGATCGGATTTGTCCCAATTAAATTGTTCATTTACGAATTAAATTGTGCACACTTCCCACGCTTTAACTTGATTTTTTTTATGTTCCGTCTATGTCACTATAATATCTAAAAGTATGAGATTCTTAATTTGATTGTATATTTTTGTGTATGTTATGCGATATCTTGGTTAATTAACCATTTTTTTTATTTTTATTAATAATTTTTAATTTTATATTTATATAAAAAAGTTTTACTTCAATAATGGTTATAAAATTTTTATTCTGTTATTTTTTAAATAAAATACTACATTTCTAGCTGAAAAGCTGGCGATTCCGTCCACGTGTATTAGGACAGAAACTTTCGTGTGTGTTAATCTAAGTCCAGACCGTATGGCCTAGATCATAATGGTCAAATTTCATTCAAATACATACATCAGCGGTTCAAGTAATAAACATATAAACAAGTATCAATTAAGTAACAAACATATAAACAAGTGGTAATAACATTTTAAAATATCACAAAAAAGTTAAACTTGCCATAAACGTAAGATGTCGAAATATTTCGTTAAAATACATTTCGACATCTTATTACAAAACCATATCTATCATATGTTTTGTTTTAAACAAAAAAATCTGTGTTGTTAAAAATAAAAGGTGTTTAAAGATATAAATTTTATTATAATAATTTATAGATTTTGGCACATAAAACTGCAAGTACATATTGTTACACGGTCTAAATAATGTTTATTCGCTTAGATTGTTAGATACTTTAGATAAAAAAAATAAATATATTGTTTTTACTTGTAATGCTATAGTGTAGTAATATATGTTTTTATTTAAACTAATGATTTTAAATAGAACATTACTACAGTTCATAAATGTAAATGTCAGTAAAGAATTATAATTAAGCTGGGCCCTTTCAGTGCTTAATTGTAGATTAACGTCATTCAATAGGTTAATTATATGATTCATATATTACGTCACAAGTTAGCAATTGCTATGACATATCTAGTATGACTGAATTTATGTTAATACAGATTAAATAGTTACATTATGGTCTTTACTGTTATAAATATAAAATAGTCAAAACTTATAATCGTTTAAAAGTAATTTTGATTAATCATTTTGCAGTTAAATGTACTTACATTTAACTGCAAAATGATTAATATGATAATACAATAATGATAATACAACAGAAAGGGTGATTCCCATGTAATAGATCCAAATAATGTTTAAAAATAGTAAACAAAATCATCACTTATTATTAAGGATATATTTGTGCTCAGAAGTAGAAGGTTGATAGCATGTTATGATGATTGAGATGAATATTTGTACCAAAATCAATAGACATGCCACCTTATGTTAATTATTAAAAATAATTATTATTTGTTTATTACCATAATAATATAAGTATTTTTTATTGTTACAGTTCCTTTTTCGGCACGAATGCATCACACTATGCCTCACATGCCCATTCCCCGACGGAGGCTAAGTCTGGGTATCCTTACTTAGGGCAACTTGGAGGAATGGATATGGGACGAGTTCACTAGTGAAATATTCACTGGTTTTATTCAGATGGCAATAAATATTACTTAGTAGTAAAATACATATTTGTAAATCTCAGTCATATTGTAAAATAATAAAAAAATATTAAATGGTGCCTTAATACATGGTTCAAATTAGATACTGTAAACAGAAGAGTAATATGAAGTCAGTCATTTTATTACATTAAAGGTATGGGAGGTAATTGAATGTTCCTATTATATGGAGATATAGCGTGATGATATCGTCACGCTAGTATATACTAAGCTTAATCGAAATCATTAGTATTTTTTGACGCAGTTTTCTACTAGTGAAATATAACATTTATCTAAAAAAAAATATGATAATCAAACGTCAAGAAAAAAATATTTAGACTTCCGTAATACCTCAAATATCATCGTTTCTCAATCCATGTATTTTTATTAAAAAAAAATCTAATTCACTGGTAAAATAATCTCTTAAAAGGGTGTTAATAATTTAAATTTCATGTAGTAAAACAATATGAACTCTCCTCCACGATTTTTACACGACTGACCGAAAAAGTAGAGCAATGTTTTCAAGGTTCATCTATGTATATTAATTTCTTTATTCAACCATAACTTCTAAATACCTATCGATCACACAGCGTTATTTGTAGAGAAAGTCTTGTACTATATTATTTTATCTAAATATTTTGCGGCTAATTTTATTAGTCTCACTATTTGTATTATACAGCTTTATTTAGAATAATTTTATAAATATATAATAAATTAAGTTTTATTGTATTATTTACGGTTCCTGATATTATTATACTATTGCAACGTCATTTAAACTATAATTATATAAATTAGTTATATTTAGATATTAAATGTTGTTATTAGTTTGTAAGTTGTTGAATAATGAATCTGTAAGAAACTAAAAATACTGTAAGTAATTTACGTAATTATATGAATGTGAAATGCCTTGCTTTATGAATGCCTTGATAGTAAGTAAACTATGAAATGTATTATTACCGTCTCTAAAATGATTGTAACATATATTTACCGATTCAGTAGCATTTTGTAATAAAGTATCACACATATCTTTTGGTCTTAGTCTCATTTTACTTATAATACTTATCGGTGAAATATAGAAATAATAAAATGCCTTAGATGACATGTGATTTTATATAAATATAGATATTTATTTTATTGATACTTTACTGCATATTAGAAATAGCCAATAGTTTGATAATAAGCACATTTGTATAAATAACAGTTACATAATAAAATAATTATGCCCAAAATAAATGAATATCATTGACAAGTTAGTTTCATTTGATAACTTTTACAGGATATGACAATATAGCGGTCGACTGTAGTGAGTAGTGATGAAATATATAAATAAATTAACTACTAGTTATTAACTAACCTTAGACCAAAAGATCCATTGGTGGATTAGGATTTTTTCACTAAGAGAATTATATAACTATCATGCTGGCCAGGTAAATTGGCATAGAATTTTGTTTCGATTCGGTTTAATTTTTTCATGGGATGGTGTAGGCAAAACTAATAAATAAAAAAATATATTATGTATTTTTAATTATAACCTAATAAATAAAGCTCTGTCTGCGTTGTTTTTATCTATCCACCTGCGAAATAAATTTCATTCAAATCTGTTCAGCAATTTAAACGTGCTAGTAAAAAATCTTCTAAACATCACTACATATTATAAAACGAAGTTCCCGGTTACGTCTGTTTATTTGTATATTCATGATGATCTTAAAAACTATTGATTTTTATATCATATTTTCATGCGGTTTTAATTTATCAACAAAGTGATCCCTTATGAAGGTTTATGGTTAAGTTGTATAATTTGTTAAGATTTTGTTTAAGTTGGTTGAAATACGACGATAATTGTTAAAGATATCGGAAAAATCGAGCTGTCTGGGAGCTTTAATCGATAATGCTGCCTAATTCGTTTCAGATATACATATATAACAAAATAACGTATGATGAGATTATTTCTCTTTTATAGGTCTACAAAAAGGTCCACAATACCATACGCTTTTTTTAATAGATGACAACACAATAGTAATCTGTGCTATCGGATACGCTGGCGGGGCATTAGTAAAAGATGATAGGTGAGGATGAAAAGGAAGGTCAGTTAGCACATCGTGACGAATACACATAGAACACGATGGTTTCCAAGGGAGACCAAGTGGAGGTCGATTTAGCTAGGTATATTGCTAGCAAAGGACCTGGTGACTACCAGGGAAGGGATTGTTAGTAAAGCGGATTCGCATTACTAACAACCACTACCCCTCAATAGCATAATAATATGCTATTAGCTATCTTTTAAGGATAGTTTACTGTACCCATTATATTTGCAAAATCTATTTAGAGAGATACAGAATAGTTGCCTTATGCGTTTCATACACATTATAAAAAACCTTTACATGACACAATCGCAAATTAAAAACTATCCGGGAGAAAATAAATTCAAGCGGTGTCGTACTCGCGTGCGGCGACGGGACTCGCTTGATGCAGCCGTCTATTTTAGTTTGTTTTTATGTATATTCATTTTACATTTTTAAATATTTGCATGATAGGAAATAAAATACCTTAAAAATACTTCATGTAGTATGGTGATATGATGTTCGTGTTTCTACCGTGAAGCAGTTGTGTTTGCATGGCTGTGTTTCGGTTTGAAGGGTGGGATATGGCGTGTATTTACTCGGTACGGAGGAATAACACCCGAGTCCTCAGGAATGGCAACGCATGAGGGCTATTATGGGCGAAACAGTATACTCTGTTATGTCCATGGTACTGCTCATGTCTATAGGCGACGGTAATCACTTTACATCAGGTGGGCCGTCAGCTTGTTTGCCATTCTAAGTTTAATAAAAAAAAAAGTACAGATTTTATTTATACTCGTGCAAAGCTTAGATAGATTGCTAGTTTATAATATTATTAGGAATGGTATACACCATTCCAAAGTCAAAGTCTTCATCTTATTATATACTGAGCAGTGGAACACAATAATAATTATTATTTAAACACTTTTATAAATATCAAATTATCGCTTTAAAAATAATTAAAGATGATACACCGAAAGAAATTTTCTAATATATCCATAAAATAATATTAAATTGCCAACTTACGAAGAAAATGTTTCCTAACAGCATTATCATATAATGAAATATAGTAACAAATACTATAACATATAGATCATTAATATAATAATATTTGACGTTTTTCTTAGCAAAAGAAAAATAGTGCCTGTTGTTTAATAAAATCTAAATGTAAACAAGCATTCTTTACGTAAGTAGTTTTTAATCTAAACACGCAATATTTGTCGCATAAGGTACTCTATGAAACAAGTCCTTGAAGAGTATCTACGAAACATCTCGTCGCTTATCGTGGCGTTCACAGCTGAAGTCGCTTTAATGCGGAGTAATATGTGCTTATATCATGTGTAAGTATATAAAAACAGTTTCATTTATCTAAACCAATACAGTAGTAAACTATTTTATTATTATTATATATGTATATATTACATACAATTTTTACTTTAAACACTTTAATAACTCGTCTTATGTATATACGCTGTATCTGGAGATTCCTGACTCTTTCAGATAGAACACGGTCTATCTGATCATAATAGGTCAGTCTTCCCTGGTACTACATCCATCTATTTTCGCGTTGTATATCTGTTTCGTCAGTCTTCCATCTAATATCCTTTCCACAGGCTTCGAATTAATACAGCATACTTTTTCTTATTAAACACATTTTTTTACAAACGAAATCAACTCCTAAAATGTTTATATTTTCATCAACTTTAATAATTTGTTTTATATAATTATATTTACCTTTTGTAGAGGATAAATAATATAATTAAATAAACAATATTAAGAGCTTAAAACTAGGTGAAATGACCTGGGAAATACATTAATATTTATTTAGTATAGTGAATAATATAATGCTTTCTGAATATATTAAATATAGAATATTTAATATTTTCAGAAAGCGAAAATTTATATTTGTGATAATAATTAGATATCATAATATGTCTATGGGAATATTAACCAACTTCCAGGAAGAAGGTATTTAATCCTACTGTATTTTTTGTGTACACGATATGATCAGATATATGTTGTGAACCCATATGAATAACGATTTTTTTTTATTAAAAATGGTTGTAAATGTGTTTACAAATACCCTGGATGATTCCATACTAATTCAATAAAAGATTGATATATTTTTTTTAAATAACCGTTATGTTATTTAATAATGCATATTATGCAGAACAGTAATGACTGAAAATACTGTCTTATAGTCCAAAATTAATTTTGACTTAAATCTACTAGAAAATTAGTTCATAATGGTCCTTAATACCAGATTTTGGTGCGATGTTAATTTAAAATTTTAATTTTAGAGGTTTGTTTAGAAAAATGGTGCCTCAAAATCGATCCCAATAATTCGTGTCTTTGTCTGTTGTAAATTCTCGTGGGTATTTAAATTAAATATCGAGCTAGATTTAGCTACTATTTCTACTAATATTACTAGATACATTAGTAATCCTCGCAAAAATCTATAGCTCCCCTTATCTAAAGACTAACAATGAGAAGAAGATTCTCAACGATAATCAGATTGCAAGTCTATTTAGCTCTAGAGATTGAGGAGAAAGTGCTTTCTTCTACTTATATAATGACTTCACCCCTACCACTTGTATCACGGAAAATTATCTGAGGAAACGTTACGATATGATGCCCATGGCGACTTTAGCGTCGCAACGCTTGTTAGTGCCGGGAAGTTCATGTTAATATTTAAAAAGTTAAGAGTACACTTTATGTGATTGAGATAAAGTGCATTTTTGAAGGAATTTAAAAAGAAGGACGTTCACAATTTGTTAATTGTGTATTACATTGTTCATGGAAATTATTAATATTATTTTTTTTATTTAGAGTAGGTAAAGTTCTGTTAAATACATGTTATAAAAATTGTATATAATAAAATAGAATTATGTTTTTATATTATATTTATTTGTGTATGCCCCGGCATAGAATAGACCACCCCTTCTTTTCCCATGGGTGTTGTAAGAGGCGATTAAGGGAGGATGAGGGATAGGCAGCAGCGTTCCTCATTGAACATCTCGAAAATCCCAACTGCTGTTGTCAACCCGCCTGCCAAGCGTGGCAACTACTGGTAAAACTCCCCTTATGGAGAAGGCTTACTTCAGGCAGGATTTCTAACCAGCAAAATACAAGGCCTGTAAACCAAGATATATTTAAAAAAAGTGGAACCATCTATAAAACCAGACAGTTTGTTGTAGATACAATTTAATAGGAAAACGTTAGAGAATTTTGTTAACATGATTATTTAATTTAATTCCTAAGTGAACCCTCTATTGATACGGGAAGTAGTACTTTAATGTATTCATGGTGAGGCTGACAACAAGGTTTCATTCTATTAACGTCATAAACAGATAGCACGTGTATTTTCAATATTATACCTAGATTTTGATAATGTTACGTCCCGTAACGTCTATACCCGTCTAAGGCAGACTAATAACAATGCTCTAAAATTTATATTCGTATTGATGTTGAAGCATTAGAATGTCTTTTATACTTAAAAAGTCTTTAAACTTGGAAGTAATGACATAGATTAGATATTCGAAAAAACGACGAAAGTGTAACATGTATTTATATATAGGAGTTTATACTCATATATATCTACATATGTATGTAAATAAATTTATAAAAATTTTGATGAAATATTGATGAGGGTATTATAATAGTTAAGAAAATTCTTCAACCACATATTAGAATTTTCTATATGGGTAAGCGTGTGTCAAATTAAGAAAAAAAACCTGTACTTATTATTTATAATATTTAATATATAAATATGTTACTGTAGTGTAATCTGTTTATATAATAATCTAACTATGTAATTCAAACTTTCCATGGTAGGTATATGGTATATTCTTTAGCAATATACAGGTTGTAAGCCTGTAATAAATAGAAATAAAGCACAAGTTCTTACAGTTCCTTTAATCTAGATATCATACTATTAAATAATATATTTACTTATTTTACTTTATATTTGATATATAACAAATAATATAACATAAATACCCAACTTCTGTTAGTCCATTGACACTTATTTAAGTATAGCTTCTTTAGGACTTCCATCAACAATAATTGTGATATATTTTATATAATGACCACGTGGTTTACTATACTTGTTCACTACGTCAGGGAGCTCTGTTCTGTTTAACGGTTGG